AAGATTTTTCACTTAAAGATGACGAACGTTCTGGTCGACCTTCTGAAGTTGACGATGACAAAATCAAAGCCATAATTGAATCGAATCGTCGTATAACTGTATAAGAGATTGCAAAAAGGTTAAACGTATCATACACAACAATTGAATATCACATAAGATGTCTTTGACTTGTTAAGAAGCTCGATGTTTGGATTCCGCATGAATTGAAAGAAATTCGCTTAACACAACGAATCAGTATTTGCGATACGCATTTTAAACGTAATGCAATCGACCATTTTTTAAAGCGAATTATCACTGGTGATGAAAAATGGATCGTTTGCAATAACATGAATCGAAAAAGGTGATGGTCCAAGCGTGATGAGCCAGCGCAAACCATATCGAAAGCTGAATTGCATCAGAAAAAGATCATGCTGTCAATTTGGTGGGATTAGAAAGGTGTTGTGTGCATTTTGAGCTGCTTCCAAGCAACTAAACGATCAACTCAGATGTTTACTGTCAGCAAGTTACGAAATCGGAGGAAGTAATCAAAGTGAAAAGGCCAGAATTGGCAAATCGCAAAGGAATCGTGTTCCACCACGTCAATGCGAGGCTTCACACACCTTTAGCAACACATACAAAATTATTGGAGCTTGGTTGGAAAGTGATGTTGCATCCTCCATATAGCCCCGATCTTACACCATCGGATTATCATTTATTTCGAAGTTCACAAAACTTTTTAAATGGTACAAATTTCAATAATAACAATAGCCTCGAATCGCACTTGATCGAGTTTTTTACTGATAAGGACCAGAAGTTTTATAAGCACGGAATCATGAAGTTACCAGAAAGATGGTAACAAAAGGTCATCGAACAGAATGGAAAATATTTGACTGATTGAAGTTCATTTCTTGTATAGAAATAATTGAGTTTTATTTCACATTGAAATACCGAAATTACTTTCCTGCCAATCCAATAGTTAAATCCATGGCTGAACGAATACAGAAAATTCTTCCTAAATGACGCTCAGATTTGGGAACAGGAGATACGATTATTTAAGCCTTGCACCTCGTTTTTATAATTGTTGACAATCGGCAACCATAAAAATGTGCTTCAAGACTCGTAAAGTCGTGTCTCCTCTTCCCAAATTGTTCATTTTTGTGCACAATCTGAGCGTCAATTAGGGAGAATTTACTGTAGCTGTTTCAGGTAAAAAAAGACACACCGATAAGTCTCCTACAACTGCATTTTCTGAGATTCGGCATTTTTAATGTTTAAAGTGATCAGACATCGCTTGTGTTTTATCAATGGAACATTTTAACAATGTCGAATCACCTGTGGCTTGTCGATGGAAAATTTGCACAGCGTGCAATGATATTAACCCCTTAACGTGCACGCTCGAGTTAACTCGAGCGCGCTAAACTGGCCAAACTGTGCTCACTCGAGATAATTCGAGCGGCGTTGTACTTTATGTTGCTATAATTTTTCACACTCGAATGAAATCGAGAATTGAAAATAACAACGTGAAAGCAAAAAGAAACAATCGTTTTATTGATATTTATCATTTACATGGGATTGTAAGCTATAACACTTACTTATTCAAGTATAAAATATATCCTTTTTCTACTTATCACACTTACGACTTATCTCTTCCTTGTGAGCCGCTTTCCGACAGCGTATTCATATTCAGATTCTGATTCGCTCATTTTTCAATATATACTTTACTAAAATATAATGTAAAATAAAATATAACAATAATAATAATAATAACAATAATAATAATAATAGTAATATTCTGAAAATTAGAAATCATAGCAATTGTATAAATATCCATTATTTTTGTAATTTTCTTGCCAAGACAACGTTCTAAATT